AAGTCTAAGTAAGACAGAAAATCATAAATTTCTTTATATATATTTTTGTAGAATAGTTAGGAAAAAGTAAGGAAAAGTCTATTGGGATACCAAAATGTAATCAAATTTGAATATTTGAAGAGTACTGTGGATTTCAAAAGCTATTAGCTTTCCAGTCCAATCCAAAAAATTACACATCTAATTTCAAATTCGATTCCTGGTACTTGCAGTCTCAAAAAAAAAAAATAATTATTTACGAATAATTAAATACAAGAATTATTTCCAAGACCACTAATGATGGGTATTTGGTAATACTCGAAACAGCTGTATGGCCAGCCAAAAATTCAATTAATTAAAATAATATAAAATTAATTTTTGTTGTTGTAGTTCACTACTGTTCGAAAAAACCTCTTTATCTAATTTTAAGTAAATTATTAATTTATTTAGTTCAGTTCGTTATTCTTAATTAACTTCAAAATTAATTATAATGTTAACTCAGAAATAAAAAAAAAGTAAAAAATATATAATAGGCATTTTTTATCTATACATTCTATCCAGAAAGTATTGGGAATTTGTAATATAAATGCCACTCCCTTCAAGTATCCAAAAATAGCTTCATATATTTTTTTGCTGTAGGTGGAAAAAATAGACAGACAAAGTGCGAAACTTTAAATCACTGAAACCACCACTTACAAATGAAAGGAGAAGATCTCCACCGCATTAAAATTCCATTCTATTAATCAGAGAAGAGGGATATGAGCAGGAGGCTTGATACCTACCTAGTGGTTTAGGTTTATGTAAGCCAAAAAGCATGGGCGTGGAAAAGGTATATGGGTAATAGGTAAAGGGGAGTAGGTAAAGGCGGCTGAGTTATTCTGTAAGCGCTGGAAGTGGACTAGTAGTAAACTATGTAACCGGGGGCACGAATGTCACGGTAATAGATGGAGATGATTGGAACCAAGTTAAATTTCTATATTTATTCATATCACTATTGAATTATAAGATGGTAGACTATTTAAAAGTGTACTCGAATTGATATATAATATTGAAAAGAGATTACATGTGATAATAAAAACCTTCTTAATACTATAGGACGATGGGGAAAGCATGATCCCGTAAATGCCCGGACGGACATTAGTCTATTTGAAATAAGCGAAATGAAAAGTATGCTGTGAACGCCAGTTTTTAATCCATTATCTACATATTGTAATAATGGAGCCCTATTATGTTATGAATCTTTAATATATAATATACCTAATATCTAAAATACCTAATATTTAAAATATTTTTAGATTTATCAGAGGTCTAAATTAACCCGTGTTAGCTTAAGTGTTTCTCTCCAAGTATAGTACTATAGATCTTATAGATTATTGTATACGATAGTCTCTTCGAATAATAATGAAAACAGGCTCACATAAAGATAGTATATGTTTCGATCATGAGGTCTGGTACTTTTACAATTACTCTATCATTATAGTAATGAACTGCTTTTTATGTACTCGAATGATTGATACATTGAGACCAAACCTCAATAGGTTGTTATTATTATAAATGCATTAAAAGAACACAGTTTACTAAATATATAATTATTGAAGCTATTTCTATTATAGATAGTAATAAAAATATCCTGGCATTATAAAAGCATGTATTTTTGCATTCCATCATGATTTCAATATTAAATTAATTTTGAAGGTCAGTTCTGACATTAACTATTTTGTTCAATATAGAGGGGTTTATCGAACAGTAGTAAATTACAGCAAAAATTTTTTTCTATTTAAGTAATTGAATTTTTGGGCTATTCATACAACTGTTTCGTGTATTGTGCTTATAATTCGTGTATAAATACTTATCATCAGTGTTCTGGTATTTTCACAGAGACGAGCCTATATGCCTCTATGCCTTCTAAAGAAATGTTCTTCGACGTTGAATGATAAAGTGTTATCTATTAGACTTGTGCAGTCAATTTAAACTTCCATTCGACTAATTTTTTTGTTGTTAAAAATATTATTGATGTTACTTCAAATTATTAAATTAAGTTTCTGAAAATTATACATAATATGTGAAATATATTCACTGTATTGTATTATTAAATATATTTATTTATTTGTATACATATATCAAATAAGGTATATAGTCCATATTAGTCATGCAAAACATTACGCCAATAACGAAATGGCGGTCGTTGAACCTTAGCTTTAATTTGTAGTAATTATTTACTGTACATTCACTCATATTCAGATCCTCAAAGGCTGAATTATTAGTGACTCAGTAAATAATTAACATTAGTTTTTTTTTGTCCTTGGCAACCCTACAAGGATTACTGTTATTTCATTACTTACTGATTTGCTTTTATATATAAGAATTTCGTAGGTTATTGCGTACATAAAACGAACAGAAGTTATTGACCGCAAGAATGACCAGAAGTGATTAGATTTATATACTTCTTCCACGCATTATATACCAACACGCAGTGCGGGTATATAAAATAAATTTTTGTTAGATATTTGTTTCTTTTTTTTTATTATTTAGTTTCTTTTTTATTCTGCAAATGGTTTTGTTAGAACACAATAAGAAAAAAAAATAAAATAAAATAAAATAAAATGCCTCTTACATTTATGTAAATACAAGACGCATCGTAGATACTTTTTACAGAGTCGCAAAGACGCAAGGCGCAAAGACGCAAGACGCAAAGACGCAGAGGCATTTCGAATTTATGTGAAACACACAAGTCCATACTGACACGCACTTGTATTTATGCATGTTTCATTTAAGAAATTATGAGTTCTCAATTAGCGTAGTGCTAAATATCACTTGACTTATTCGTTATTAAGATACGAATATTTATTTTTACATATCTAACTCAAACCGAATTGTCTAATTTTATATATTCGAAATGTAAAGTTGGCCATTGACCTCAGCGATAAATGTTCGCACCGAAATGCCAATGTTGATGTGGTACCCAAAAGCTCTGAAATTGATTTGTGGGGTTAAGTGAAGGTGTGAATGAATTATGCTTGTTCTTAATTCATACAGTAGCTCAAATAATTAAATTGTTAAGAATTTATTATGTGAGGACTACAATCTTGGGAATTCCAAAAGATTTTCTTTTTCAAAATAATTTCAAATGTATCCCAAGTTAAGTTAAAAAACACTTATAGGTTGAAGAAATTGGAGATTCATAGCCAACGGAGCAGAAGATTTATTTATCCCTCATAAAACTCATTAATTGATATAACACAAAAGTTGTTGTCAAGTTAGATAGTTAGTTGAAGTGGATGAAGGTATGAATTCTTCTCAATTAGCTAAGAAAGCCATTTTGAATCCAGTATTCCTCATAATAATAGGTAGAAGAAGTTCAAACTAGAGCCAGGCAGAAGCATTTATTAACGCGAGAGTATTGGCCTATGTCAATACTGGAGATATCGCTGAGTGTGGGGCCTTTAGAAAACAAAGCCTATTTTGACCAGGCCTGGACATAGACATGTTCTGGTGTCCTTTCTTCGAGAATCGGCAGGCATGCATTGGATGTGCCACGTAAAGATGGTCCGACCTATGGTTCAGTGCCACGTAAAAATAGATATTATCCTAGATATCTCTGATATGCTTCTGTAGTTGTTGTCAAACTTTGGGTCAAAAATGATGGATCAAAAATTGAATTGAGTACATTGGCAAATGAAACATAGCAGTATGTAAGCTAAAACCTTAATTTGAAAAGTACTTAAAGACTGAAATGTCCGCAATTTAGACAGCCTTCATTTTATGTAGCCTTCATAATAAGCAGATAAGGATTCTAAAAGTATGATTTGGAAATATTAGTCTTCAAATAGTGGTAAATAGTGGAGAGTTTAAAGTTGATTTACGTGGTTTTTGTACCACGAGGACTCAATACCATAGTGTTCTTCAAACAGGTTTTAGATTTATGCGCCGATAAATGACCAATTGGTAACGAATTTCGTCGGCACCAATTGGAGTAATGACTTTAGATATAATTACTTCTTTGTTCAAAATTCAGGCTTATTTATACCTATCTAGAAGAGAGAACATTATGTGGTTGAAGTGGCATAAGTTTTATCTCTTAAATAAAGTACAAATATCTTATAGGTTAGTCGATAATATAAGAAGAATATACAAGAACATATATGCAAGAACATATTGCTCGAGATCAAAAATAATTTCCTAGTCTTCTTTTCGCAATAAAATAAGTGTAATAGTAAGATTCACAATTCAACCATAATTTTTGTAGTATGTCTATTTTAACAATTATTCATGCATTTCATGTTATTATTATTGTAGCTTTGCGTACAACGCCGCAACTCCAACCTTACCTAATCTAGTAAGAAGATACATATAAGAATAGCGATACAATAATTCTTTACTGATGATTTGATAAAATAATACGATCCATGTCTTCACAAAACACAGCGTCCGAACTATATCATAACTTGTATAACATTTTCTCTGCATTTATCTCCAATAGCACAGAGAAGGTAAAATACCTTCTGTGTATTTCACCAAAAATTTGGGTGCTGTGATCTATGCCTTCTCATTCCATAATGCTTCATTAATTGGAACTGAGCCAGAAAATTTAGTTAAGGTTTATATCTTACTCTACATATTACATTTATTGACTTCATAAACTTACCCATTAAAGTTTAAAATGAAACAGATATGTGAAGCGCCGCTATCAGTTTAATTACTCATTAATGTTATAATTACCTCTATTAAAATTTTGCAATCAAAATTGCTTATTAGTACCTCTCATTTATTGTTTATACTAATTGCAATATTAAACATTTCTGTCCATATCTTATAAATCGTTAATAAAAAAAATTATGTTATAACAAATCAATACATAGCTTCATTCTCAAAAATTAAAGGCGGCTTAAGTCGATATTAAAGAACTGTTAATATTTCATGTACGGTTTTTCATATCATTATCATTATTATAAAAAATTTTTTAATTTTGCAGAATTTAATTTACTTAATTAATAATTTTCATATCTTTTTTTATCTGTTTTTAGCTCAAATCGAAATAATTCCATGCAAAGTCTGTGGCGACAAATCGTCTGGTGTACATTATGGCGTCATAACATGTGAAGGATGCAAAGGGTTTTTTCGTCGCTCACAAAGTTCTGTAGTTAATTATCAGTGTCCTCGGAATAAACAATGTGTTGTCGATCGTGTTAATCGAAATCGGTGTCAATACTGTAGACTGCAAAAGTGCCTAAAATTGGGAATGAGCCGTGATGGTAAGTAGTCATTAATTATGAATAAAATTTTATTGTACATAATATGGAGAATATATAAAAACATATTGTATATGATTTGATATATAATAAAACTAAAATTCTAAAGGATAAATAACATTTTTTTAGACTTACCGCACTATATTAGGATGACTTTTTGGAAACCACGGGTTTTTTTAATATTTTGTGTTAATAAGTACAACTCATCCATAGAATGGTGTATGATCACAATATATAGTTATTAAATAGACTTAACTTTAACAATTACTTTATTGTTACATTAATAGTATTCTCTAGTGATTGTATTATAAAAAACCGTTTGACAATATCCAATTCATTGATATACGGTGTGGCTAGCTCATGGCTGTCAAGTCACAAACTGAATTTTTGGCCATTCAGTGGTTACAATATATTTGCTGGAATATGCATAATGTTCTATTCGAAATACACAATAACTGTGTAAGCTATGTGCAGTTAGTATCAGTTTCCAATATAATATATCAAATCCAATCATATCCAGTAAATTTAGTCTCATTTCCAGAGCATTTTTTTCGAGAGCACTTTTCCCTTTCTGCAAAGTCGATAAATATATATTAAGCCGTGACGTGAGCAAGGGTGACTAGGTTATACATGTATAAATCCTCACCTTATCAATATAATCTATGTTGAGATAATCAAAACAACACAATTTCGATATATTTTTATACAATATTATAATACTAATATTAACCACAAAATTTTTATTAATGAAACTTTAGAAACACTAGAAAAATGTATTAACTACACAAAAAGGAATGATAGAAGATTCACTTCTAATTTTTGAGCAAAAAATTTAGTTATATAAGGTTCTTGAAAATATTTTAGAGAGTTTTTCGAATAGCAAAGAAAGAAATGACAAACACAAAAATTTATTTAATTTTATTGAAATTTGGCTGACCATGTAACGCTGTTTCGAGTATTGTCCCTGAAAATAACAATAAAAAGAAACTTCTTTCAATATATCTAAATAGACCTGTATATAAGTTAAACTGTTGCTAAATTTTACTATAAATAATACAGTGAACTGCAAAGAAACTTCAACAAAAAATATTTTGTGGTATGACATCCTTTCTTAGCGAATTCCTCGCTATACAGCTGCAGTCAATATGAAATTTTAAGAATTAGTTGACTTAAGGAATTCTTGTACTTTTTTCAATATTTCCAAACCAAAAAATATTTTTTGGTAACGGGCTCCCTAATATATTCCCGTTCAATAATACTGAACCGAATATCTTTTATCTATCGCGAAGCAAAGTCAGACACTTATGTATGTGACTGGGAGTATCAGGTTCTAAATTTTTTTAATATATGTTTGCATAAACCCTGATACAAAAAATATTAAATAAATCTTGAATAAAATATTGAGAAGCAATAAACAAATATTTATTGTTTATATAAATTTTAATCAAAGCAAATATAGACATTAAAAATAATATCTTAAAATATATATACACATTTCATTATAATTTAATGAATTTTTTATTAATCAAAAAATATTTAATATAATTTTCAGCTGTTAAATTTGGCAGAATGTCGAAAAAACAAAGAGAAAAAGTTGAAGATGAGGTCAGGTTTCACCGAGCACAGATGAGAGCGCAGAGTGACGCAGCTCCAGATAGTTCTGTTTTCGATACACAAACGCCGTCTAGTAGTGATCAATTGCATCACAGTTATAACAGGTATGTTGATAGTGCAATGGATCTCTCAAGCATCCAAACCTATAATTAAAAATAATTCAAATATTATTTTATAGTTATGGTTACTCCAGCAACGAAGTTAGTTATGGAAGCCCATACGGTTATTCAGCATCAGTAACTCCTCAACAAACAATGCCGTACGATATATCAGCCGATTATGTTGATAGTACAACATATGAGCCCCGCAGTACAATGATGGATCCCGAATTTATTAGTCATGGTAAATTTATAATAGATTTTTATTAGCTATATATTTATTGTAGACTATTTAACTGTATTTAAAAAATATTGACTCTTCTTCGATATTTATTAATAAGTTATTTCTATCTTATTTCTAATTTCTTAATTTTTTTAATTTAATATTTTAACAGTTCCGAAACTTCTAACATATGTATTGTATATCTGAGTATATAATTAAAATTATAAAGATATCCATAGTTTAAGTATAAGTCATGAAGTTTTAAAATATTTGGTGCTTACATAATGAATTGTATTATTTGGATGTTTAAATAATAGATTTAAGAAGTAATGCTGGTCTAATCACGTCACGTCCAACAAAAAACCCAAATGGGAAAGCCTCTGTTTGATCCAGTTTTTACATACGGATGTGAAATGTGAACTAAAATATTATATTAAATAAATCAAATTTTTCAAAGATACATTATAATATACTAGCCAACTAATGATTGAAATAGGGAGAGAATGAAATGTATTTATTACTTGATCATGTATATATAATCCAAACAAATAGAAAAATCTACACCTAAAAAGGTTAAGTGCGTCGATTCGTGGATTAAGTGCATCGAGAGTAAATAGATGCATAATGTAGGAAGCAACCTCTATTACCATAAATGAATGCTCTGGTTCATTGAATTTCAATGAAAAGATATCTAATGGCATATCTATAATTAACATTGTCATAGTGTGATTTTTAATATATATAGTAAGATAAAATCGGTTATTGTTTATACTTTCAACTTATGATTAGAAAAGAAATGGTATTAATATATTCTCGTAAACTCTTCATGGGATCATAAAACTAGATAAAAACTAGATTTAAGTTAGCCACGATAATAAAATTAAATACACTGTTATATGGTGATGTCTTTATTTGCTTTGGAAATTAAACTACACCAATTACTCATAATTATGAAGATAAACTCTAAAGGAATATCGTTTTAACTGTCGTCTATCAATTTAATAAATAAAGCAAACAACTTTCACCAGGTTGGTGCTCTAGGTAAAGCATTTCTAATCAGAAATTATGGATTTGATGAACTGCCCAGATATGGTAGTACTCCAACGTGAAACATAATACATATATTTTTGTTTCCGTTTTTGAATGTATCATTAGACATAATAAAAACAATTTTTAAGGCAGGGAATAACTGGCAGGCGAGACAAATCTACCGAAAATAGATCATATTAAACCTGAATTTAACAAATAAAAGTGTCATTCTGGTTACGATTAGCATAGTAGGTTATTGTTAAATGGAGAATAGAAAGAAAATATTGAATATCCACACTAAAGATTTCTGTAAAAGCTTTCTATGTAAGGTTATAAAAAAGCGACCGAAAACATGTAATCATCTCCATATCGAGCAGTTCTTAGTAATAATTCCTTAGAAGATTTCAACTTTATAAAACAACTTTATAAAACTTATAAGAGTTCCCATTTAAACCTAATGATTTGCTAAAATAGGCTTAGTATAGTCCTAAATGGAACCATAACAGATCGCAGGCCTATGTGTGTCGCAATATTTTTAATATAATAATAATAGCAATGAAAAATTCTTAAGACATTCCATTTTAATTATAATCTTTAAGAAATAATGGATCCCATAAAAAAATACATAAAGGATGGAGCCCTGAAATTATTTGCGAAATCTGACAGACTTACCAATACTGCGTTATCAAATCTCAGAATGGTTACAGGCTCCTCGGGGAGATAAACAGATCTCAGGTCAATTATTGCTTAGTCTGATGAAGTGATAAACAATAATCTAGTCAAGGCGCAAAGAGGGGTTTTGAAGAAACCTCGCTGTTAATAGAGAGTAAAAGTACTCAGATCCACTGAATCAACTATCCTCAACATAATAATAAAGTTAAACTAGCACAATATTCAAAAAGTAGAAGTATTCGATTTGATTTCGAAAAAGCTTATTTTTTTTTGACTTGACCTCTTCTTCCATTACAGCATAGGGCCTCCGATAAATATTTTTTTACTTCTATATACATATCTTCAGTTAGTTTGATATGCAACCTATATAATTTAAAAATTAATTATCAATCATTTTGAATATCTAATATTTTTAGCTGACGGTGACATTAACGATGTACTCATAAAAACACTGGCGGAAGCACATGCAAATACGAATACGAAACTTGAAGTCGTGCATGATATGTTTCGAAAGCCTCAGGTAAGTGTTCTAAAGTTTTCCTTATCCATTATCTTTAATAGTAAATAAACTAATTAAGAAATGTTCCTAATTTTTTATCATTTAAGCATAATATTTTCAATTTAATTTATGTAAAAACATATTCTGACATCCAGAACCCGCAACAAACCTATATAAGAATAAACTGTTGAAAAGAAACCGCTTTACACTAAGTCGTATAAGCAAAAATCTAATTATGTCCAAAGAGGCATTCCACTATAATATACCACAAAATTAATGACTGCTATTATGATTCATTCATATATCATGTACTACAGTGTAATTAGCTAAAATTCCAAGCTAGAACTGTCAGTACAGTACATAAATTACATATATTAATACTATGGATTCCAATTGGTAGTCTATTAATACCTGACATATTAAATGCAAACAATTTTACAATATAATTAACCCATATTTAAATTTCCACATAACTAGTTTTTACTACATAACTTCAGTTATGCCGCATCGCATATGTTTAAGATGTTTCCAAAGTTATATAGAGTATATTCATATTTTACGAATATATATGTTATGAAATAAATCTATATTTAATTATATATGGTAATATTTATTCAAAAATTGTGGGTCAGAAAAGAATAAGATAGAGCTACTCTATATATGTACAGTTCTCATCAGATGATGTATATATTTACAAAATAACAAAATATATCTTTTAAAATTTTAAATTTATTTTGTTTTCCTGAAAGTAATTAATTTTTTGTGAAGTGCCGATGTACAAAGAGACTGATATGATTAGTTTGGCTAGCTAAATTGACAAAGATTATAATCTATGGCCTTCCATACCATGCGTTATATTATTTAGTTTTCTATCTCTTATGTGTGCAATAAAAACATTGTTCTTTTAACAAAACCATAGAGTGTTTTCTTAATTCATATTTATCAGTGATATTGCAGCAGGCAGTTTTATTAGAGTGTAAGTGAGTTTGTTTTCTATAGACAAACTGCCATTGGCATCTATTAATTTATTAATCTATGCACTTTATCAGCATATCACGACTTCATTTACATGATGACGCCTTTTTGACAATATATTTGAGTAAAGTCATCTATAAGTACATATTAGATCAAGCTGGTCGTAGTGCAAAAAGGCTAATAAACTATGATTAGGCCTAACCCATAAGCTATTACCATTAGAATTGAAATAAACAGGGTACCAGATCACAATGGAGCGGAGTATCGCGACCTTATTTGATCTTTTGTGCCATATCATTACTATTACCAAAGTCATCTATTCTAAATAACTTCTTTTAATATGTTATATATCAATACGCTAATACGCTACTTTTATATAGAAACCACCAACAGTTTATTATTACCGCACAGACTAATTGGCGTAAGATGGCGTGAGTGGGATTCTAATTAGTGTAATCAATGTAAAAAGTTTATGACTTAAAAATTCGATTGCTCGAGAAATACGCTATATAGATATATATATATATTTACACCATTCAAATTTATTAACAACTGTTTATTATTTATTTTTTAGGATATTTCAAGAATACTTTTTTATAAGAATCTTAATCAAGAGGAGCTTTGGCTAGACTGCGCAGAAAAATTAACCCAAATGATACAAAATATAATCGAATTTGCAAAGCTGATACCTGGTTTCATGCGTCTAAGTCAGGATGATCAGGTAAAATATTATATATTTATAATTTTTTATTATTGTTTTATTATTGATTTATAAAATTATCATATACAGTCAAATTTCCATAGTCCTCGAAATTCTCATAAGTCGAACCTTTTCTTTGCAAAATGGTACTTCGAGTTATGGAAGTCTGACTCCATTACATACCTATAATAAATATATAAACAAATAATAATTATTTATTTTGTTTAGATTTTACTTTTAAAAACTGGCTCATTTGAGTTGGCAATCGTAAGAATGTCTAGATTGCTCGATCTCTCACAGAATGCTGTGCTCTATGGCGATGTGATGTTGCCACAGGAGGCATTTTACACATCAGACTCGGAAGAAATGCGTCTTGTGTCGCGTATATTTCAAACGGCTAAGTCTATAGCTGAACTTAAATTGACTGAAACAGAGCTGGCACTATATCAAAGCTTAGTACTGCTCTGGCCAGGTACTCTCACTTATAATATATATTATATTGTAATAACAATTAAGTTATCATTTGTTGTTATTATTAATAATTTATGTATTATTTAATTTTAAATTTAGTGTATATTAATGATTTAAATTTACTATAGAACGAAATGGAGTGCGTGGAAATACAGAAATCCAGAGGCTTTTTAATTTGAGCATGAATGCCATACGGCAAGAGCTTGAAGCTAATCATGCGCCCTTAAAGGGAGACGTTACAGTTTTGGATACGTTGTTAAATAATATACCCAATTTCCGGTATTTGATTAATATAGAATTTCTTTTAAAATTAATTATATATAATAATATATTATTTTTATTTTTAATTTAGCGATATTTCAATAATGCACATGGAAGCACTGAGTAAATTTAAGCAGCAACATCCTGAAGTCGTGTTCCCGGCATTATATAAAGAACTCTTCTCAATAGATTCACCGCAGGATCTGACATAACACCAAGAGAACTTTGTTGAGACCACAGCCGCAATTGATGTGCCGCATGCGTCTGAGACCACAACAACAAACAACATTACAACAACAAAGGACCATCAATAGTTGTTGACGGAATGTACGAAACAATTTGGGAAATTATGTGAAAGCAGCATGGAAAAAGGGACGTAGTAAAAATTCAGAAATAATAAAAATTATTAATAAACATTTATTATTATAAACAAAAAACAAGAAACAAAAAACAAACAACAAAAAACAAGAAAATTATTCTCAGTTATTTCTTTGATTGTTAAAATTTGCATATAAAAAAACACAAAAACAACAAACATTAAATAAAAAATAAATATTATAAAATAAAAAATAATTACAGACGAAATTCAAAAGTCGTTAAGTGGTGGACAGGATGAACAAAGTTTAAAAAAAATTCATTTTAGCAGAAAAGTATAAAATTTTAATTTTAAGATATATTTATACAAAATTTAATAAAAATATAATTAAGTAAAATTAACAACAAAAACAACAGCAATAAGTTATTATATAACAACAATAACCGAAATAGAAATGATTAACGAATAAATACACACTTATATAAAAATCAAAACAGACACGCCCATGCACTACACACACACACATGCATACACACATATACACACAGACATCCCAAGAAAACAAATCCATATAGACATATGATTTCAGATATATAAGAATTAATTAATATAAATTTAATTAATGCATTTCATCATTATTTCATTTCAAAAACCAAAAAGGAAATAACTGAAAAAATTTCAATAAGAAAATAGCATTAATATCATTTTTTTTACGATGGAAAAGAAATTTCAAATTATATATATATATATATATATACATACATAAATAATGAAAAAAAAATAAAAGAATTTTTAAATTTAAAATTATTAGCAAAATTACCCACAGTTGCTCAGAAACACACACACACACCGAAACACACACACACAGAATTCTTAACACACCTTTGCTGCTAATGTTAATTATATAAGCGAAAATATGGATTATAAGGATATAGGATTTTTTTTTAAAAATTTTTTTCGACAATATATATAATATTGGTAAAAATATTTTTTGTGATAATTTTTTTTTTTGGATTAAAAATTTCATACTAATATTATCTTTGGCAAAAAATTTTATTATCTTAATTATTAAAAATATTATCTTTTTGTTAATAAGTTTTTTTGCAATAATTTAATTTTTTTTCTGCAATTATTTTTTTTTTGTATTATTATTTTGTTGGCAATAAATTTTTCAGGTAACAATTTTTTTTTAAATAATTTATTTTTGGTAATAATTCTTTTTGCAATAATTTTTTTTTACAATAAAATTTTCACGTTTCGCAATAATTGTTCTTTTACAATCTATATTAACTTTTTTTAATATTTTTTTTTGGAATAATTACTTTTTTTTGGCAATATATATATCTTGTGACAGTAGCTTTTTTTTTATTAATACATTTTGCAATAAATATTTTGTCGAGTAATTAATATAATTACAAAATTTTTAAAAACGTTACAAAAATATTTTTATATACTTTTTACACATTATTATTTATTTATTTTTTGGTTATAATGGCTTTAAATAAATTTTAAAATTTTAATTAATGTGCAATATTAATTTATATTTATTATTCAAATTTATTGAATATATATTATTCAAAAAAAAGTTTTTTTAATTATAAATGGTGTTACTGCGGCCATTTTTAATTTTGAATGATTTTTTAAAAATACTCTACAAAATTAAGTGAAATCAGTAATTTCATTTAAATAAAAAGCTAAAATAATTGGTCAAAAATTTGAAAAAAATTTTTTTTTTGTATTTTTAAAATATTCAACAGTTTTATAATTGTGATTTTGAAATGCCTACATAAATTTTTCACACAAAGTCTTATACAGTAATTCCCAGAGGTTACTGTATAATATAATGCATAGGTATATAACAAAAAAAAGTAATACATAATAAAACCAATAATAAATTCACAATAAATTTGTTTTCTATTTTATATTCAAAAAATTTATTGCACATTTTTGTATTCCAATTTCAATATTTTTTAATTAGATTAATTTTTTCAATTAATTAAAAACACATGCCTAATTTGTATTTAATGATATACAATTATTGACATTTATTTATCTTTAAACTATAAAGTGGTTTAATTGATATTTTTAAAAATTAATAAAAAGCTTTTGAGGACTAATTCATGTATTCAGGGAACCTTTCTAATGGTTTTTAAAGTTTTCAAAATTAATTTTAATCAAAAACTTAATTTTTGTTTTTTAATAATTCAAATCAAATGAAATAATAAGACATAATAATATCTTTTCACTATGTATACCTTTTCCAATCAAATTTGACTTTAATAATTTTAATAGCATTTTTTTAAACCTTTTGTGAATTTTTAAAAATAAGAATGTTTTTCAAAAATATTTTAAATAATTTAATAATGAGGTTTTTTCGAACAGTAGTGAAATACAACAACAAAAATTTTATTTTTTATATTATTTTAATTAATTGAATTTTTGGCTGACCATTCACCTATTTCGAGTATTACCAAATACCCATCATCAGTGGTTTTAGAAATAATTCTTGTATTTAATTATTCGTAAATAATTATTTTTTTTTTTGAGACTGCAAGTACCAGGAATAATTTAATAATTAAATAATTTTAAAATAAAAACTAACACATTTCTAATATATTTGAATTACTTTTAACATATTTTCAATTTACAAAAAATTAAAGTTATTTTTAATTTATAAATGGGTATTGTTTTAAATAATTTCATTATCTTTATTCCTACAGAGATTATAAAAATTTTTAAATAAAAAAATTTAATTTATAAATTGCAATAGTTGAGAGTAACATTTTAAGAGCGTGAAAATTTAACTTACAAAATAAATCACAATATTTTAATGTATAATATTTTATATTTAAATTGTTAAAAATAGTGACAATGATTATAATAAGTAATATTAAAAGTAATTAATTAATTAATCACATTCATATATTAATACAAAATTAAAATTAAATTTTATATATTTAAAATTGTTCGAAATTTTCTATGCATAATAACTTTAAGATAATTAATTACACTATAATGATTTTATACATACTATATGTAAAATAATATTAATAACAAGATAACAGACACATATAAACATAAGCTCTAACATTTTCAAACGACGCGTACATTAAAACTGTCACGAAAGTTCCATAGGTCCCAACACCATAATATATGGTACTTAAAAGTAATACAGTGATAGGTCTGTTACATGGACACTCTCAGATATAAAAATTTGTTTTCCCAAGCTAGTCCACTGTTTTAATTTAACATTCAAATCTGTTAATTAAACATTCAAATTTATGTATACAGTTCTCTAAACCGGAAGATAGTATTGTTAAATGTCTTCAACTAAAGACATCGATGTCAACTAAAGAGAACCTTAATTGTATTCAAATATTATATTCTGAATACACTATATTATTGGCTGTGACTTCAAAGTCACATAAATGTGAATCAAGTAGAGCTACTCTTTACTTACCAATAATATTAATAATATTATTAAATATTAATATTAACAAAAGTAATACTTTACTTACTAATAATAGTAAAAGTAATAATGTCATTTTTCTTACTCCTAAAGTGATTATCTAGAAAAATTAATAATTTTTTATAAGCTTGTAAAGGAATTAATAATGAGAGAAGCTCTCAGAAGTAGTAATGAAAATTCGCTTACTCCGAAAGTCACTATAAAGAAAAACTTATGAAAGAATAGAAAAATTGGAGCTACTGCCAGAAGTAACAATATAATTTTTTCATAATAACTTCTGAACTCAGTATAAAACAGAACCTATTATTCTGATATTAAATTTTTATATGATACTTTTTACTATAAAAATAAATTTTTCACTCTAAAAAGTACAAAGAGTAATGACTATAGTCATGAATATCAAACCAAGGGCTTAGAAAATTTATTTGTTTTATATAGAGCGGTATTATTATATGCATATATATATGTTATATTAAAACTTTTGACTTAGAAGAATATGAAGATTTGGTTCAAGAAGATTCTCAAAAAATGTGTTCAGTATAAAAAATTCTTGAACCGGATGATGTTCTGATTTTTATTAAATCGAAGGAACTTTCGAAGCAGAGGATATTGGAAGATTTATCAATAAATTTAATAGGAATTTTATTTAAGTCAATATATAAAAATTTCTCTATGCATAGTTTAGTAGATTTCGTTGATTAAAGTGTTAATACAAAATAATTTAAAGACTAAGCATACGGATCTTTTCTATATTGCCAATAACCATAAACAGTGGTGTTTGGAAATATACTTGAAAATCAAATTTATATTCTGTCATGAAATATGCTGGAGTTTAATATAGACATTTAGAAATTCATTTAAATAATGGAATAGAACATCATTTAAATAATGGATCAGTTAAGTGATCACAGACATTATTGAGCAAAAGAGCTTGAGATACTAACTTACGTTTTATCGGACATCACTAGACATGACAATGTAATCTATTATAATATATAGTAATGAATTATTTTATTAATTAACTGTATTAACATGCTTTTGCAAAAATTTAATGAAAGGCGTAGTAGTTGGCACCTAATAGTGGGTCTGTACGTGGGTTTAAATTAGTTATGTGAGATGATGAGAGTTATGGGATGGGAGTTGATGAAAGTTATTATATTAATTTTTAGTTAAGCCATTACTTAACTCTAAGTAATAAAGCCAAACATTTAAATTATTTCTAAGGGTGTACCATTATATTCTTATGTGTGTGTCTATGTTTCTCTCCATTAATAAAGAGAATAATTACTTGTAAAAATTAAATTCTAATGAAAATAATGTTGGTTTGATAATTCGGTATAACTTAATTATATTTTTACATTATAATTAATTAATTCATTTAATATTTTACATATAAAAAAAATTGATCACGTCAAGTCAAACACAACACAAAACAATTTTTTAATTATAAAATATTTTTCAATTATCCGCCAAAATTATTTAAATGGTTTTAATTTGCACATATTTAAAAAACAATTTTAGTTAAAAAAAAAAATAAAACAGTCAACAAAAAAACAATTTTTTAAATATAAAATCTTTTCAAAGCTAACATTAAAATATATTCAAACAAGTTAAATTTTCACATATTCAAAAAAAAATTTGAAAAAATCACATAAAGCCAAGAATAACTCAAAACAATTTAAATATAATATCTTTTACTATTTAACATCAGAATATATTTAAATTAATTTAATTTTTTAAATTTATTTTTAATAATAATTTATTTTAAATAATAAAAAAAAATCATATTAAAAAACAATCACACAAAGTCATAAAATCACATATAAAACAA